GCAGTTAGATAGATTCTGACCGTTGGAAACAGTTTGAGAGCAATTCTAGCCGTTAGTTTGTCTTTTAGCGTTTAGTTCAAATTCTTAGATAGAATGCTCTTAGTCGACTAACATTATCACTTAGTCGACTAAGTCGTCTCTGTCCCTGAACCTAATTTTAGACAGTAGGCTCTTAGTTGACTAACAAAACTTCTTAGTCGATTAAGTCATTTTTGTCTCTGAACCCAATTTCTAGCAAAAAGCTCTTAATTGACTAACACTGTCTCTTAGTCGACTAAGTGCCCTCTGTTTCACGATTTGCTTGAACCCATCAGCTTCGCTTTTGAGTTTTATCCAATCAACTCTCTTGATTATCCAACTTAAAAGCTTCTTGTTTCATTGTTCAATTGTAGCTCCTTATTCTTATGAGTTTTGATATTGACTTTTGAATTATTAATTAATTATTTAATATATATTTTTGTCCTACACACTCAAATAGAAAAGTTAGATATTAATAAATGAAAATATTTTATTATCATCAAAAACTAATAGAACCGACACTTTCGATTGCTAGTCGAAAGTTGCTCATTAAAGCAACGGTATAGTCTATTCCCAATTATGTGATGAGCTACTTTAAACTGCCTGATAGACTGTGTAGGGAAATTGATTTGGCTGTGGCTAAATTTTGGTGGGGGTGTGATAAATATTCCAAGACACATTGGAAGAATTGGACGTCCATGTGCTTTTCGAAACAATCGAGAGGCATGGGATTACGAGATGCCAAATTTTTTAATTTGACTATGTTGACTAAGCAAGGGCTGCTTCTTTGGATGGAGACTGACACAATAGCTTTTAAGGTTTTAAAAGCGCGATGCTTTCCCCATGAGAGTTCCTTGGAGGCATCTACTGGCTCCAATCCAAGTTATATGTGGCGCAGTATTAAAGATAGTCAAGATTTAATTCGAAAAGGTTCTCATTGGAGGGTTGGTGATGGGCACAAAATTTTGGATAAGATGGACAATTAGGTTCCTTGTAATACTCCTAGAAAGGTGATTACATGTGCAGTAGTGGCGGCAGATTGAACTAAAGTGGCTGAGTTTGCCCTCCATGACCGATTGGAATGGGACGTTGATAAGGTAAATTCCTGTTTCCCTCCTCACGAGTCATCTTTAATTTGTTCATTGCCATTAAGTTATCGTAGGCCTGAAGATCGACTTATGTGGTTTACTAGCAAAACGGGTGGTTATGAAGTTAAGTTGGGTTATAAGTTGTTATGCTAGCTCAAATGATGATGCTTTTAAGGTGTGGAAAAAGATATGGAGTCTACATATTCCTAGGAAAATCCCAGTCCTTATATGGAGAATATTTCACAGTTGCTTACATACGAGGGTTGCTTTGGCTGAGAGAAAGGTTGCTGTTGATACCATTTGTCCGTTATGTTCACAAACAGTTGAGACAAATTTGCATGTTTTTTGGGAATGCACTTTTACAAGAGCAGTATGGTTGAGTACCAAATGAGGTTTTAGAAATGTGGCAAGTATTTATTCCGCGATAAGAGAAATCGGAATGAATTTATATTTCAGAATTAACAGAGGGTCTGACCCATTTCAGGTTGCACAACTGGGAATGGATATGTGCACTCAATATCGAATAGCGAACTCTGGCGGGGTATCGGTGTCAAGACCAACGCTGAGGCGGACTGCTTGCAAATGATTAGCTGGTTAAAGAGCAAGAATTTTCATTGTAAGGCAGTCAAACTAAAATGTGCTGCTACCTTGCAAGAGGACGACAAATGGGGTGGCTCATTTAATTGCCAAGAGTAATAGGAGCCAGGCGTTGAATCAGATTTTGTGGAAAGTCGAGGACAAACTACCAGGTGAGGTTGAGCAGCTATATAGGAAGCAAATTAGAAGATGAGAGTGGGAAGGGTTAGATTATTATTGGCATGTATGATAGGTACTCTTTTCCCCTTCATATGGGTTTTGTCTCACTGGGTTTTCCCTTATAAAGGTTTTTAAACGAAGCTTATGCAATGTGGGATCTATTGTGGTTGAATTTGTTTGTTCATATTGTAATGTTTAACCAGTATTTCAATGAAAGGAAAGTCTCTTTCTAAAAGAAAATGGGGGGTAGTTATAGATTATAGATATTTAATAACTTCTCTGATCAACTTTACCACAGTCAAGGAGCATTAAATAGGACGCATTTGATTATTAAGATTTTTAGGAGGAAACTCAACTTACATTCATAATTTATCAATCCATATGAATAGAGCATCAATTTTAATATTTTTTTTAAAAAAAAGTAAACTTAACTCTTTAAATTAAAATACATAAATTACCATTAAGCAAATATTTTTTTTTAAAAAAAAAAAGTTAAGATAAATATTCAAGGGTATCAATTTTATAATTTATATGAGCAAAGCATCAATTACAGCAGTTTTTTTTTTTTAAATATCGAATTTAATTCTTTACCAAATATTGAAATTTAGAAATTGATTAAGGACAATAATTTTGTTGAAAATAACCTCATCCAAGAAAAAAAAAACATTTTCTGATCTTTAGATATCACTAAAAATTATATATTCCGATGTTTGGAATGCATTAAAAATTTTTATCAAGATTTACAAACCTTCAAAATTACAATACAAAAATCTTCCTCCCATTATATCATTGTTCTCTCTTTATCAACGGAATTGCTTTTCATGCTTATTGAATTATAAAATTTTCATTATCATTAATAAATTTTCATGATTTGAAGTCAACTAAGCAAAAGCCAAACAAATTTATTATAACTAAAAATAAATTAATCAAAAATGACCTAATGTTCAAAACAAACTCTAAATTATTTAAGAAAACTTAAATACGCCTTTATTCTTTTATTACATTCAATAAATTTTTATATATTTATTTTAAATCGAATAAGTTTTTATAACTAATGCTAAATTAATTTTCATTAATCAAAATACTAAAAAATTAAAAATACCACATAACAATATTATTATACCACCTTACCATCAATTATGCTGTATCAACAAATTAAGTTATTATCAATTATAATATATCATTATATTATAACAGCGAAACTTGATATCGAAGATAAGTGATATTTTAACTAAATCAACCTATGAACTTATTTGATTAAAAATAAAAATATAAAAATGTATTTAATTAAAAATAAAAACATATACTTAATCGAATGTAATAAAAAAATAAAAATTTGTTTAAATTTTTTCAAATAGTTTGAAATTTTTTTTAAGTATTACGTCCCTGAAAATCAAACTAATATTCGGTTTATACGTTAGCTGGTGAAGCAAATTTTAAAAAAAAAATTTCGTGGGTAATGTTGGTCCTAGTAGCCAGGCTTTTGAAAACCAGAAACGGGAAATCTTGTCAAACATAGTTAAGGTTGGGTTTCCTTGGGCCCGGCAAAACAACGACGAACAAAGAGAAGAAGTAGAGGAAAAATGAGGAAATGGTAATTTAAAAAGAGGGATCTGAGAAGGGGAGGAAACTAGCGACGTGGTGGCTGGTCTCGATTCAGACGACTGGGACGGTGGGCAGTGGTGGCTAGTCGTTTGCCTTGGGGAAAGGGGGTGAAGGGTTTGGTGCAAAGGTTAGATAGCTTTTGGAAAAGTCTTACGCCTTTTAAAAGCATAAAGCATTTCACAAGATTTCAGGGGGTTTTTTTTTTTTTTTTTTTTGGGTTATGGGACTCATAAGTTGTTTTACACACAAAACTCTTGAAAAGATTTTCTGGAAAAAAGTTTCATCCGTTCCAAACGAACCCATAATTTACCACCATGAGATCAAACACCCAAGTGCATCAATTTTGATAGTCGAATTAAAACAGAATATAAATGTACATAAACATATGAAAAGGTGTAACCAATCAATATTTTTCAGTGTGAGTTGATTCCTATACAAATACATATATGTATGTATATATATATAGATATATATGTATATGTATATATATATGTTTGTGTGTGTGTATATGCAGATGGAAAAATAATAACCCAAGCCAATTTAGACCTTACCCATAACATACCTATTTGCCACCGGCTTATGCTAACTGTACTATTATGCTTTCAACAAAATAAAAATACCGTAGTAGGCCATTTGAGGTTAGAAACAAACCTGATTGACTTGAACTAAAAGTAGAAGAGGAGAAAAAGATGAAGGTAATGCACATAGATTTGTTCTTTCCCCCTTTGATTTCTGCAAAAGAGAATACACAAAGCAGTGGCAATTCACATAATCTAGGGCCTGCCACCAATGTGACTTTGACCTGAAAATGCTGCCACTAGATATTTTAATTAAATATTTACAGCATGAAAACAACATATATCTAACCGGACATGAGGGCACACCCTTTGCATTGCTCTCACCCACCGAATTCTAGTTGGTACATCTCCTTTAAATTTGGATTATACAATTTGACTCCCTTGATTACTAGTGAAGTGATTGTAACTAGAAAACAGGTTGTTGCTCTGTTGTTATAAATGTATCATTATAGCTAATAGGAGTGGAAGCGGCCATTGCATAGTTGGAATACCTGTAGAGGCTGCCAAAAGGGAGATATTAGCACGCATGTACAGAAGGAAAAGTAGAGCATTGATCTAAATATGAATTAAACTGACCACTTAAATGATTATTAAACTTCAAGAAATGACCGTAAAAGTACATAAGATTGTGAAAATGCAGAGCATCGATCCTAAATATAAATTAAACTGACCACCAATGATTCTTAAAATTCTAGAAAGACTAAAAATTCAACAGTTGAGCATCTAATCCAAATAAAAATTACTGCATGAGAAAAACAGTCATCAGATATCACAATTTTAGCTATGATGTTCGGCAATAGGCCAAGACGTCAAAATAATAACTTGAACTATTCATAAAAAATTATTTACTCACATATAGATGCCATTGGTGATGGTGAAACTGAAGGTGTCCTGTCAGGATTCTCTTTATTTGATTTACTCTTTGATGGAGCCTCAACATGAGCAAATGCTACATTTGGCAGTGGACTAGATGTGGGAACCAAATGGGAGATTGGCCTCGGTTTAGGTTTGGGGGCCAATGCTGATGGGTGTACAAGTGGTGGAGCAGCATAATGGTTAGGAGAAATTTTAGGTGCGACAACTGGGGCTATATTAGACTCCTGTCCAGTCTTCCCCTTGATCCTTTTATTTCTATGTTGGCAACCTGGAGGATTTGCCTTGTAACTCCATGGGGATGCAGGTGAAATTCTCTCTGGAGCAGGTGAATAATCTTCAGGTGCAGCTGCACCTTTCTCAGTTGATGTAGCAGGTGAAACTGCAGGGGCTAGAACATCACTATGGTGATGGTGATGGTGGTGGTGGTGATGGTGGTGGTGGTGATGACTGTGGTGAGGATGAGGCAGAGGGGCAGGAGAAGGGGACCATGAGTTTGAACTACCATCACCTCCATGAAGGGAATGTTGCAAAATGGATGAAAGACGAACTTGCTTAACTCTACCAAATATGTTGTTGTTCAGGCCAAGGTTTCTTGAATGAGAACCCGTGATGGTTTGAGCTAGTTGCTTCAATCTTGGCATTGAAGGAGTATTCCCCACGGCCAGTAGAACAGATGATTGAACAGTAGTGGGGGGAGCAACTGTGGAGCCTTCAGAATTTGATAAGCTAATATACAAGTTCTGAATTCACAAAAGAAACCCCATCAGATTCCGCATATGAGATGCTATAGCTAAAAAAATCTCTTACAGTACATAACAAGCTTTAGTCTTTTCTCCATCAACATCCAAGCACTATATTGCCAAAAAAAAAATAATGAATCAAAATCAAGAGAAAACGAAAGATTGCCTAACCTCATATGTGGCTAGACGCAATCCAGCCTTCAGCTGGCTTGTCATTTTCTCAAAATTTCCTTGTATTTCATCAATAGAAAAGTTCAAGGTAAAGTTGAAAAGGATTTGCACTTTCTGCAGAAGAAACGCACTTTGTGGGGGAATTACAGTAATTCCTCCAGGGAATTTTAGCACCTCAAAGTATCGTGGAACCCCAAACAAGGATTCAGTCAAGCGTAGAGATGATTGGTGTATAACCAAAGATTCAAAAGATGCCCTTATCAAACTTTGAGAAGTTGAAGATATTTTTGAATATCTTACATCAGGATCAACTGCGAAGACAACCTTTGTTATGTTTGATCTGGCTAGAGGCTCAAGAGATGAGATAACCACCTGGTTCAAAGAACTAATCAGATCTAGACAAAAATTCTATGAAGTACATACGTTATAAAAAAAGGATTGAAGTATATACTTTGCTTGTGGGAAAGCCTATCTCATCAAATATGTCATTTTCAAGCTGCAAGATATTGTCTCCCAGCAAAGAAACCGGCTTCTCAACATTAAAACTTGCTACTATATCATGATCTGGACAAATAACGATTGTCAATATAATAATTTCAACCACAAACCATTTTTCATGGATAATCTGAAATTCATGCTCACAATAACATTTTACCATGATTCAAAATTCAAAAGATGAAATCAGCCAATCTTATCACCCATCTTCAGTCAGATCACAATATAAACAACTAGTATTACAATTACCATAATGAATGCAAAGGTTTTGGACGAAGTTGATACATCATAGATAATTCTCACCTTTAAAAAGGAATTTGGAATTTCTTGTTAGTCAAATTTACATCTTAAACCAATACCAATTCATCCGACAATGCATTACATAATGATATTACACCCAGCAAATCACTGATTGTTTTGCTCCTAGACAACAGCTGCACATAGCTCAACAAAACTATGACTCCAAATTCCTCCCAGTTTTACTTAATAGATATGGGTATAGAAAAACAGTCATAAGATAGCTTTAGTGATACAGAACTGCCTGTTTTCTTCCTAGAAATTTTTGGTTTTCATAAACTTTGATTATAATGCCAGCACTATTGTTATTACAATTAGCAGATTCTGGTATTATTTGTATTGAACATTTATACTTAAAGCAAAAAGAACATCTGCCTAATCAACCTACGAAAAAATTTTATCTCCGCCAGCCCAAATGAATTTTGGTAACAAGAAGTATGGATTTTGAGATCACAAAAAGGGGACCTGAACAGGACAGCTATATGATCTGCCATAAAACAGTCTGAGCTTGTCCATAATCGTGCCATATCATGGGATTTATACCCTTTTTCTTGTAATTATTTCTTCATAAAATAGGCAATGATCTTCATGTATCACTGACCATTGCATATTGCATTCAGCACTGACTTATTTATGCATTCTACCATTTTTCCATTTAAATTGAACCAGATCAATAACAACAGCAAAAGTAAACCATTTGTTCACAAGAGCCACAGAAACCTGAGGAAATTCTATCCTGGAAAACTCAAGTTTCTACACATCAGCATCAAGAGAGCTGGGCTTGGTGGCTCTCATATTCAGGTAGTGAAAGGGTTCCTCCCTTAACTCTCATTGGAGTTCATAAGCGCTTCCTTATCCCCCTTCCAGCAAGTAGTATCACCTGACATTCCTTGTCAAAAAACCACAACCACGACCAGTCACTTCGGATTTACCAGGAATTACTTTAATGAAAATTGAGTTGGCAGCTTCTTAAACGGTGGCATTAACTACACCCCTTAGCCTATACATGTGGCCCTTGTGAATCATTTTTGGAAGTCTTTTGCAAACTTCATATGTAGCTCTGTATTCCTTCCCCTCAACCATTTGTTTACAAGTTCCTTAATTTCTACTTCCAACTTCACTACATTGATTCAACTTCCTACCTCTTCTATCTATCATCGCCACCCCAAGGTCTGCTCCAATCCTCCTTTCTGCCACTCTTACTCCATTTCACTTCACTTGTTTGAAATGCTACCTCACCCCCCACCCAAAGAACTCTCTACAAGCATGCATCAACAGTGGAGTTATTGACAAAATATCCAACGACCAATGTCTATTTCTTGATCCAAAGTAAACTACTTTCTATATGGCATGGACTCCAAATATTCTTGCAAGTAAGTCAGCTCTACTCACTGGCTACTTAAACTCAACTCGTTCATTATCAAGTTGAACTTAGGTTTGAGTAGCTCAATTCGTCTAGCAAGCCAAGTTCAAATATTTCAATGCTCAGCTCAAGTTGCTCCCAGACCTGATTAATATTTTGATCTTTTTAGTGTATATATAGTAATATATAAATAAGCAAATATCCAAGTCTGAGCTAGAGCTTAATAATACTCAAGCCTAAAGAAATCGAACTCGATCAGCTAGATCAAGCCCAAGGTGAAGAAAATCAAGCTAAATCAAGCTTGTTTCAAGTCTCAAGTTTTGCAATTAAGTAGCCCAGACTCAAGATTTGAAATGAAGTCAAGGTCAAGCTTTTAATCATGTTGCATCAACTGGATTACATTGATTGCCATCAGTGGTATCAAATTGAACCCTTATACTCCAAATCTTAGGTATGCTGTTGCTTCCTCTGACCTTTGCAGAAAGAAAGATCACCAAACCACTTCAGCAAAAGCGAACTAAAATTTTCTAAAAAGAAGCAACCAAAGCTTGAGATTTTAAGTGATTGCCAACAATAATAAAATTGCTCTAACACCCTCTTGGGTGACAAATTTTACTTAAGAAGAAATTCAATCTATAAAATATTTCAATCCATGTAAAAAAGTTAGCGTACAGTACGGACTAAAGCATCCTTCTGTTCGACAGATAACCAAAGTGAAAAACTTTCCCCATATTTTCTTTTTTATATTATTGACAGGTTATACTAGAATATAAATCCCACAAAAAATGTTTTGACGCAAAAATCATTAATAGAGTTAAGGTGCTACTTGTTGCAAAGGTCTAGCCTAATTCGTAAATGATAACGCACCTTTCATCAAAAATAAATTTCAAAGGTCAAAATTTCCATCACCCAACTGTAAAATAAGAGAACATAAAGAAATTTTTTAAAAAAAAGGGGGTTTAATTTAGTCATATTTAAACTTAAAAAATAATTTACTGAAGCATCACAATTTGATTTATAAAATGCTGAAGGACAAAAATGAGTACAAATGCCACACCAACATATATAAAGCAAAATTTGGAAAAGAAAACTGCCAATAATCACAAGATTTTCAGAATATTCTCCTGTCAAGCGCCAAAAATCAAAATACGTAGGGGAAAACCACTAAATTAAGGAGCAAGCACCTATTTAGTTTGGGAAAATATTCTTTGATTTCCATCTCCGCTTTTACTCCAAATATGATCAATGAAAGAAAGCTGAATTTCTAAATTTTGGAATAACATAAAAAACTAAATGGTTTTTTGGACATTGTAAATAACTAAACATGGAAACACTTCCATTTTTGTTCAATGAACAAAAAAAAAACAAAAAGCACTTGAGCATTTGGCTCAGCGGTTGGTGTGCATGATTGGGCTGCTCAAAGAGCAAGATTCAAATACCTCTTTTCCTAAATAAATAAAAATCAAAAAACAATTTAAAATAATTATCCAAATTTTCGGAAAGTGACAAAAAAAAAAGAGAGTTTCCAAATTTATTTATCTGATTATATTGATTACATCTAGATTAAAAGTGGGAATAAGAAATAGCAAAAATTTCCTCAAGCAAATCGGGGCCTAAAACTAAAATTTTAATCCTTAAATTCATTTATTTCCCTTTAATTTCTTGGCAAACCATGTAATAACAGCAATCCACCGACAAAAACTGATTGTAAACCCACTTTCCATTAATGGAATTTTTCTAAAGACAAGAGACAATGATAAATGAAACTTAAAAAGTGTAAGAAGATCGAGTTGATAGGGATTTTGCTACGTCATCATTTCCCTCCACACATTCCCTGAAGTACCCAAATATAACTCAGAAAATAGGAACCACCCGGAAGATAAAATGTAAGAACAAAATGCAGATCCATTATCCATGCGCATAATAAAATGAATATGAATTAAAGAATAAAAGGTAGGAAAGCAATAGGCGGACCTTTGAACCTGGAATCAAGATCCAGATCAGATTGATCTGAAAAATTAAGAAAAGGGGGCAGCCAAAATAAAGCAGAGAGGAAGAGAGCAAGAGATAAGAGCAACACGAGGAAGCATCGAAGGCCAAAGAGAGATTTGCATCCGCAGCCACAGGCAGAGGCAGAGGCAGAGGCAGAGGCAGCAAATAGTAAGCTTAAGCTTGAAATTGGACCACCGGCATTCTCCACCGGTACCTCACTGTTCACACTTGTACTCAACCTCTGCTCTTCCTCACCTTTTCCCATAATGCACCATCAGCATCATGCCCCATCCCCTTGCTTCCGCTTCCTGCTTTCCTGATCTGCCTCTGCGTTTGGTACACCCATTTTTGGCACTTCCCCTCCAACAAACTCAACCACCATACATCACAAGGTGCCCCATTTTTACAACATTCTAAGTTGTAATTTCCGCGACAGGGAGAACGCTTGCCTTTGTGTTGCTAATTTCCTTCTTTCTCTGTTTGTTTATTTCTGTTTTACATTTAAGACGAGGAAATAGGTGTAGGGTGTGAACTTTGAAGATTAAGGAAAGAGAGAGTCAAGTATCTATCTGCAAATTGACAAGTGAGGATTGCTTTTCTTAATTTATTTATTACGAGTAGCCCAGCTTTTAAAAGGAACAAGACACGGGCACCGTGGCCAATTATTCTGTTTTTACACACTTCTCCCTTTTTCTTTTCTTTTCCAACATAATTTTTCCAATGACACATAATATCTTTGAATTATTCCAAATAATTTAAATTTTATTTTATTTTTTTTATAATAATCCAACAATTATGATTAGTCAAAATTTTATTTATTATTTTATATTTATATAATATTAACATAAAAAAATAAAAATATCATTTAATCATATGATCAAACAATATAAGTATTTCACATCATTATATACGGTAATATATCAACATACTAAATTGGTATTAAAAATGATAAATAAAATTTTATTTTGTTAAAAATAAAAATAAAAAAATTTAATTAAACATAAATAAAAAATTTTAAATCTTTTATAAATAATGTTAAAAAATCTTTTAAGTATAATATCTTTTCGAATTTAAAAAAACATTAACCGTTTTCACAGTAAAATTAAAATTTCACAACTCCAGGAGTTGATTTATAAAATTATCACACCATGTTCACTTAATCTATACTATTATGAGTTTGATAACTTGAATCAAATGCTCTGAAATTGTTTAAAAAGGTTTAAATAATAATAAATATATAAAAATTATCTAATTAATTATGTTTTAACACATGTTTGTTAAATTTAGATCATCATATAGTTAATTATGGTTTTAAAAATTTTAACACATGGCTCCTATCCATTTGACTTGGAGAAGCAGGTGAATGAATGGATTCAATTCAAAGCCACGTCCTTGAATTTGAATTATATTGACTTTACCACATGTCACATCATCAAATTACTAATTGATTCCAGTTTAACCTTTTTATGTTTTCCTTCATTAAACTTAAATTGTTGCCTTTTCAAATATATCTTCTCACTCTTTCCTCTTCCAAATATAATCTTCATTAATGAATCAAGATTATTTCCTTTTCATGATCAAATAATAGTTTATATTAATTTAATCAATTAAAACATACAAAGAAATTGGCAAAATAAAAAGAAAGAAAATAAATTCATTAACTTCAATAGAAGAGAAAAACTGAAGATAAAAAGGAAAAGTGTGGATTCTTGTTCTTAACAGAGGGGTGGTTGGTTGACTGGTTTTTGTCAGCCATCTCTTTGGATAGAAGATGGCTTGGCGTAATCTTTAGATTTTAGGATTTGGTGAAGCAGAGGCAGGAGATGAGAGAGAGGATAATAAGACAAGATTGGAAGCTTTGGAAGTGGATTGACTGGGCAACTGAAACTGTAGATTCCCTAATTTCTTCCACCTATTTCTTTTCACTAATTGTTCTTCTTTCACTCACGTAATGGATGGATGTGTCCGGATCCAGTTATAATTACAAAAAGCTTTTAAGTTATTATAATTATTGAATTTCTTTAAATGTTAAACTTTTTTTTGATGGCAGAGAAATTATTGATAAACTCTAAAAGCCTTGCGCTATGCAATGGGCTTTAAGAATTTTATACACACTTGATATTAAATATTATCATAAAATCCCAAAGATCTAAACTTAATATATTACACAGCATTGAATTAACACGGTAAATGTTACTAATGTTAGAGCCAATCCTAATGGTTTACAATTTAAAAATATAAATAAAAGTTAAATATTCCGACTCTCTTAAGTTTTGACTATAATTTCATACGAGTCCATTCATATTCGAAATGGATATTCCATCTCAAAAAGATATCTTTCGTTGGACACAAAAATTTTATCATTAGTCAATTGTTAATATTTTTATTAGTTTAACAATGTGATAATATTTTTAGGATAATTTTACTTTTTTTAATTTAAAAAATTACTATTATATAAAATACAATTTTTTCTCTCTCTACCTTAGTATTCTCTCTCTTCTTTAACTAAATTTTCTCCATTGCATATGGCTGCAAATGGTGGCAACAACTAGCATGGCAAGATCAGACACTCTTCAGCCAAATCCAACCACGAAAACATCAAATGTGGTACTTCTATGAGTGGATTTAATTGAGAAATGACAGATCCAACATTCTTGCAACGCGATAGAGCATTAACAAGTGCAATCTCACGTTTGAGGGGCTCTGTGGCATTGTAGGAATGCTGGATTTGGCATTCTCATAACTGGACCTGGCCGAAGAACATTAGATCTAGAGTTCTCACTAGGTGAGGAAGTGAGTGCTGGCAAGCGCATGATCGTGTTGTAAAGGTGCAACCTAGAGCTCTCACTGCCAAATCCAACCACAGGATGGTCGATCGATATAAGATAATATCACTAGCTAACCTAAGAGAAAAGAAAAAGAGAGAGGAAAAATAAAGATATTTTAAACATATCACATTTACTTGTTAACGTTGTTTATACTTTTGAGATAAAATGTTTATTTTGAATACTATTGTACTAATGTGGAATTATGGACAAAAGTTGAAAAGGTCTAGGTATTTTACCTTATAAATAAATATACAAAGTTGTAGCATTGTTCGATTATAAGATAGAATAACAAAATATTCATACTTAGGTATCTTACAAACCAAAAGGCATATCATAAAAAATTCAAATAGAAATAAATGTACCAGTGCTACTATCGGGGAGTTATTCATTTATTCTTTAAACACTTTAGGCGTCTTCTGTTAACCTAGGGGAGAAAAGCGAAACTGAAATTTTGCTCAAAATATAAAAACTGAAAGAGAGATACCTTTGTTGTAATAGTAAAAAGTATTTTGACCATAATAGCAACAAAATCACTTTGGCAAAACCCACAAAATATTTCATGAAAAATGACATAATATATGTGCACCCTGTATGGCATACTAAACCAGTGTAAATAAATGCATTCAAGATAAATAGGTCAATGGAATAATGTAAAAGTTATGTTATATATCTATTGTTAATGTATAAGTTCAATGCAATAAATATCAAGAAGGGTAAATTGGTACTTTAAAAAAAAATTTGCAAGCTTAATGAAAAATAACCCCTTCTTGAAAAACAAATTTTCTTCTTGCATCAAAAGCAAAGCAAATGATTTTTGTTTAAAGAAAATATCAACAATAAATCGCAAAGCAAAAAAATAAATCAGGACACAAGGATTTTTGTAATGGTTTGGTTTTCTTAAATGTTGTCATCAACTCTCTTGGCTAACAAAACAATTTCTAATCCATTAAAAGGATTTTTACATTTTAACGAGATCAAGTAATAACCCTTACACTTGCTTTTTCAAATGTTGATCAACTACCAAGCCTTAGGGATCAATTATGGCTTACACTTGATTTTTACTATGATCTTCAAAAATCTTAAATGCTTACACTTGATTTTTACTTTGAAGTTTTGGCCTTGAAGATCAATTACCAAGCCTTAGCGATCGATTATGGCTTCTTCAAATGTGAGATTTCTCATGCTTGTTGCCTGAGGATCGACTAGCTCCGCAATAGGATCAATTATGGTTGTACGTTTTCATGTTTTCTTGCCCGTTCTGCACAAGATTGACTATAGCTCCTTAAAATCGATTGGAATTTGATTCTTCGTGAATTTCTTGTCCATTCTATCCTTGGATCGATTGCCTTTACTCTAGGATCGTTTGTAGCCTTATATCTTCAACATTCCTTGTCATTTTGGTACTAACTTTAGCTATATCTTCCTTGTAATCAAATATCAAGTTAAGGCATGCTTGCTTGATGTTTTCTCAAGCTAAATAGTTATGTTTGAAAGCTTTATGATGTTTTTTAAGCATGAATAGCTTTTCTAACATTTGTAAGACTTTAGGAGGATGAAAACATGATTTTGATAATTTCAAATGCTTGTCAATAAAACTAAGATATCATGCAACTTTGTTAAATCAAAGCTTAAGACATTTCAATGCTAACCATCTCCCTCTTTTTTATATGACAAAATCAAAAGCATATTTACATTTGGAATCTCTTGAAAACTCCCTTCCTAGCTCTATAAGTCTCTAAGCTCTTCTTTGAAACTTTTTAAGTTCAAAGTGAGAAGGGTATAATAAATGCATAAGAACTTTAAAAATTCTCTCCCTCAACATATGCATAAAGTTTCAAAAAGTTTTTCGAAAGTTTCAGCTTTATGTAGAGTATAAGAGCATTTCAATGTGCTCGTAAACCTTTTCCAATACCAAAAAGAAATAAAAGTGAGAGCTTTAAGCACTTAACTCAAGAGACAATAGTTAAAGCCACAAATAATTAAAATCAGTTGGCAATATCCTCCTCCAATACCAACTCTACAATTCAAATTTAAATGGGACTAACCAGGTAAAATCGGCTAGACTTATTAATGATTTATTGATGGAATAAGTTGTTGGTAATATATTGATAGAATATTGCCTTGCCGATGGAAGGACTTTTCCCGACTAAAGTATCTTCAACTAAATAACAGTAAAAGTTTTCATCAATAATGAAAATTACTAACAGAATTTATGCCTTTACTAACAAAAAATTCCATTGGTTTAAGTCTTCTTTATTGTAGCGAGGGAGAAATTGCTTCATGCTTACCTAGGTAAAGAAACATATCTTGTTTCTCACCCTTGCTCCCATTGCATGCAGTTAGGGGGTGCTTCGGTAACAAAATCCCAAATTCTTTCTAATTTGTACATGATTTTCTAAGAAATTTTTAAAGGGTCAGATAAAATTTTTTAAGCTCTAATAGAATTTGTTAATTAGCCTTGATGGAATATCTTTGTATTGTAAACTTGAACATACTAGAATAATTTATTGTTTTGATACATGCATATACATTGTACAAGTTCATCATATTTGAACGATTAATACTATCTCCTTTATCAAGGGGTGTTTTGTCATCATCGGAAAAGAAAAGATATTATTGACTCCATATTATTTTTGATGATAACAAATCATTCTCATCTAATTTTCTAATGTGTGTGCTTGAAGGAACAATTATAGTATTTTCATATGTATCTTCAGCTTTCAAAAGAAAGCAAATCCAAGATGAGTGTAAATAAGGATAAGATGATTGGTTAATCGA